GACAAGGAGCCCCATTACTTTTTTCGTAGTGTGTGGCCTGCACTTCCACTGGGTTTTCATCATTTTCAGTGCTCTCTCTCTGTTTCTACATGAGTTGGATTGCTGATCAGCTAACTCTGATTCATGGAGAAATACAGATTTTTGTGGGGAGCATTGCTCTCTCACATTGGTAAGGGACACTGAGCTAGTTATAAAGATCACCACAGGACCACGTGGATCTTCAGAGTGTTCCTGCTGTTCCAGCAATGCCAGTAAAAGCATGAATTCATTATATGGTAGCATCAGCACTGAAATAAAAAACACCTTATACTTTTGGGGTTGGGGAATGTGACAAAACCCACTATTTTGCCTGCATAGGAGATGTCCTCCTCCTAAGTTCACTAAAAGGCTCCTGAACCTCATTCATGTTTCTTCTGCATTCAGTATATAAATCTACTGAACACTAACCACCCCCTGGCTCATTAATTACAAAGAAACCACAGGGTTAAGTGCTCTCTCATCTTGTCCCACGAACGCAGGCAGCGCGACTTGGTCGGCGAGTGCCTGGAACTCTAAGTCAGACACTCGACCTTGCGAACACCAGATAAACCATATGAATGCCTGCTTCTTTCTGCGACAAGCCAGGAGAGCACTGTTAGGTAGGTTTGTTCGGACGAACAAGACAAACAAACGTTACCTATGAGCCATGGGAACCATTCGTCTTTTTGGTCGGTTTGGAACTCCCGAAATTGACCGACCGCTACCACTAAAACTATGGAACTGATTTGGGCAGGCGCCTCATAAGCGGTCAGTCAAAACTTTATCCCGGTGGCGATTCGACTGTATTCGTGGCATCTGAGCGCTATTTGAACAACCTGGGTGCTCAGATCCAGACTATCCAAAGATATAATATTTGTGGGGGTTCCTATATGTTTATTATGCATTTTTATGTGTTTTAATATTTTATGTCAATTATGCCTAGTCATGCTGACACTGGAATTTGGGGATATTTTGTGGGAGTGTTCTGGGCGTGTTTTACTGCCTCCTGATTTTGTACATAAGTGGGTCAGTTGGCCAGATTAAAAACTTTTGTTTCTACCCTTCATCTAGTCTAAGCTGATGTTTGGGGAACTTGGGCTCTAATCATTACTGCGCTGGGGACTCAGGAGATTTATAACGGATATACTCAGCCGGAGTATAGGGGATCTGTTACAGGGAATATAATATACATGTGTATATACATAAATTAATTTCTCAGCACTGTGTTGGATTCTTCATTTGCTCTTACAATCTAACAGAGGACATTGTGGCTGTCACCCTTGATTTTCCACCTCTATGACTTGGGGATCACCGATACACTCTTTCTGTCCCTAGCTAGTGAATAACTAACATGCCAATATCTTGGTGTATTAGAATTCCACACATAGTACCTTGTTGCCCTGAAGACTTCCTCATTATGCTAAAGATGGATTAAATAAAGTACTGGTCAGACCTTTCAAGACTGCAAGTGGTAATGTTATTGTTAGCTGTCTTCAGGCGAAATAATCTGTTTCTTACTATCGTACATGCTGTAATGGGATTTGTTACGGGGAGGGGGCGCATGGTAAGTCTCTAGCTGTCTTTCATCCGAAATATATTACAGTTAATCTTATTAGACTTACTAGACATATGACGGACATGAAAATAATGAATTAAATAGTGTCATCATTTCATCATTGCTTAATGTTTGACTAGAAGCTGAATCTTATCCTAGATGACAGAAATAAATAAGAACAGCTGCTCTTAAAGGGACATATTTTTACTCTTATGTGTTTATTTTATTTTTTATTCTTCATTGAAGAGACAAAGCACAAGTGTACAAAGTACTAAAATCATGGCACTTCTCACGTTTGTATACACAGGAAATCATAAATCGAGCATGGAAGTATTTAGAAAATTCGGCAGACTAGATGGGCCGAATGGTTCTTATCTGCCGTCACATCCTATGTTTCTATATGGAGAATACAGCTGTAGATCTACAAAATGAAAAAGACAACAATAGCGTAATACAGTTTAAAACACTATTTAGTGTGCCTTCAAGATACAGTGTGGAGATGTTATATGTTGCCTAGGGTGTCTCCCCTTTAAATTCTGGAGTGCTAATCCAGGGCTCCTTCACTCCTGACAGCATAAACCAGTCCAGTGAAGAAAACAGGATTCCAAAATGGAAATTGAATTGATTTAGATAAATATAAAATAATATATTGTATGGGTCTATGTGTTTTGTCCCTAACAAACAGGACTTCCTCAGGAGACTCAACAATGAAATAAAATTCAAACATAAAATAATAGCATAAAACATTCCAATACAGGTAATCCTAATCAGGAAAATAGCAGCATAAATCCCTCACCCCTGAGTCCTTCTATATATATGGCCTGTGCCAGATTCTTATTGATGGTCCAGTAGCAGCTTTCCTCCAGGTGACAGGTGTATAGAGTTCTCCAGATTGATTTTCCTGGGTTCAGAGTTTTCTGCATTTCCATGACGTCACTTCAGTGGCGCCACTTCAGGAAGTCGCTGGATGACGTTTGCGTTCCACATGGCGGCCATCTTGTGTTCCACCCACGGTCTGCGAGCGGCCGCCATGTTATTGTAGTCCAAATTGCAGATGACATGCTGGTCTCCTATGTAGAAGTTGGTGTAGGACCCACCGATATTGTGGTATTGTGAGGTAGTGCTGGGCTTAACACAATATGGCCTTATAGTGCAACTGAATCACCACATTTGTTTGCTGAGAGAGGTTATTTTAAGTAGCCTTATAAAAAAAATTTAAAAAAATGTGTGTTTGTGCTGCTTTCTAATCTGTATTTTTAATATATTTTGCTCTTTAGCACAGCGCCACTTCTTAGAAATGAATATTCTGGTGTGCCTCCAATTCACCTTTTTTTCAATTTTTTTAGGCATACATCAACACAACACAGTACTGAAGAGAACTAAAAAGATGAAAAAAAAAAGAGAAGGGAAAACTTGGGCGTAGCCCAAAGAGATGTAGTAGGTACATTAAATTCAGCCATCTGGAAGCACCTTCACCCAGCCCAGTAGAACAGCCATGGATTCCACACATTGTGAAAAGAAAGTGAAGGGTTACAAACAATTGTGGTTAATATATCCATTCAGAAATATTTATCTACCTTCCCTATTACCTCATGCATGGAGGGGACACTATCCCTGAGCCAAACCACTGCCAATGCCCTATGGCTTGCCAGAGTGATTTTTATAATTAGGTGTTTGTTTCTTTTTATAAATGAATGTGCATATAGGTTGCTACAGATTTTTACATTGATTAGGTTTATTTTAACAATTGCACATTGCTAATAAATATCTATAATCACATGTACCTCTAAATAAATTCCTCTGTGCAAAAAGCATTAGTTCCACTAGGTGGCACTCTTTTTCAATACTAAAACAACATTTCTCAAAAAGTACACATTGAAAATGAAATGAAGAAATAAGTCGATTTTAATTAATATTGGTATTCACTGAAGCTTGTGTTTTTTTAACATTCTTTGAACTCATCAGATTTTACCTCATTATTTATTAGAAGATGCGTCACCACATTATTATTTATTGTATTTCATTATTTATAAAATATTTTACCAGGAAATGCAGCTATGTATATTTTTTTGATAGACTTGTAACAGTGACTGTTCTAATCTGTGATTTGGACTTTTAGTCTGGGCTACTAATAGCAAACGCACAGGTGAATTTTCCCTGCCCCATTCAGTGGTCTGCCAATGAGCAAATGCAATGTTAATTAAGTATAAGTATATAGATATTAGATATTAACTTGCTCCCCACCGTTCTCTCTGTTAACATGTCTATATTATTATAATATTCATTAGTCAGAAGAAAACATTTACTATTAAACTAAGCAGTAAAACTTAAATTAGAAGCTTTATACCGCACAATCAAGTAATATCTAATATGAGATAGTGCTATGAAATTGCTTTTTGAATATGTTTCACGTTATATAATTTTTTTTCCATCTTAAGAATGTGGTCTCCTTTAAAATGTTGGTTTATTTCTTGTGAAACAAAGTAAAATTGATTTGAAGATTTTTTTTACAGTTTGCCACTGTTGTAAAACAGACAAACGTGATTGCAGATAAAAAAAAGTCAACTGGCCATCTAATCTACTTGTAAAATGTTATGAAATATCAGATTGTTTTCCTTATTTCTTCTTCACGATAAGTTTTTATGAGCATTTTTATTATTTTACTATATCAACCTGTAATATGTCAATGTGTCTACGACCCTTTCTGTAAAGTAATGTTTTCTTACATTAACAATTCAACTCATACAGAGTTATTCAATAAAGTTGAGTATGAAAAATGGTGGGAATTGGATGGCCGGACGTACTCCTTGAGAGCTCCTGCACCAGCAAGCAAACAAACGTGCATCCTGACTAAACTGCCCATGCTGGTGGCACACAAAGCCCCAAAAACGGAGTGGAACCGCATGGGGAGCATAACGATACCCGTCATGTACCACTGCACACTGCGGGCACATGGACCGGCCACGCGGCCTACACTGGAGCGGAGTCTGAGGCCTGGGGGAGACGGCCGACCCCCCGGCATGAGACCTGCTCACAAGCGAGCGTTGACTACTGCCCTGCTACCCCCCCTCTGGACCGGCGGGGGATATCCCGGTCCTCGATGGGGACGATCACCCCAGCAAAACGGACTAAACAAGCGACCAAATCTACAATCAAACGAGATAATAGAAACGCAATCAAGATGGCGGCCCAGGCGCGTCCGATGCCAAAATGCACCCTTGTTCAGCCACCAAAGCACACCCAGGAGTTCTTTGCCCGGCTATGTAACAGCCTATGGACGAGGATCCGCACTAAGGGCCGGTCCTTCCACCTCGCCATGAGAACAGCGGCGGCATGGATCCGGCTGACTACACGGCGACACCTGTGCACATACTCCCCACGAGCTCCCAGGGGGGCCTTCATTCAGAGACAGAGGCGGGAGCTTCATATGCACCACAGCAAGACCACTCCCCACACAGCGGCGCAGGAAACCACCAACCGCCGAAAAGCAACCCCACGGATGAAGATCCACGAGATCCAGCCTCCGGCCAGCGAAAGCCAAATGTGGAGAGCACCTCCGAGACGAAGAGGGACGGAACTCTACAGCGGCACCAACTCTGCCATTGCCCTTCGCTCACCCATCAAGCCCCCATCGCAGACCGACCAGAACAAGCCGCGCAGAGAATAGACACAGGAATCGCCTGACTGCTGAATGGGGCCGTCAAGCTGCATCTACCTGAGCACTATGAGACACTGAGCTTTGCGGCAGCTAGCTCCATGCTATGAGACTCTCGTAAGCCAACCAGATGAAGCATTTAAGCTAGTACTCATGTTTTGATATGACCTGTAGGTTAGCCTGGTTATAGATTAGGAAGTTAATTTTACATGGCCTCACCTAGCCCATCTTAAATGTAGGATTCAATACACCCAACAAGTTAGTTACCTGCATAAGATTAATAGCTTTGTTTTAGCCTGAGCCCAGTTTATTAGCATGTATACTACTGTTACTTTAGTTGTAATCTCTGCTACGACCTCACAACTTAAATACTGAATGTGTGCCTAACCTATTGCATAGTCCAGTATTTCTCATATAACAGTCTACCTAGATAGGCATCGCTACCAGGATAGCTTGTTTATACCATAACATTTAAAAATGTGCCGATACTCTCATGCCACGATTGTACAACTACTGTGTTTATATCTTTCAATTATGCCGTTGTGGCATTGAAAACGTTTTGTCATTCCTTGCACAAAGAAAAAAAAAAAAAAAAAGAAATGGTGGGAATTCAAAGTGGGGTGCAAATTTAAGGCCAGAGAAGTTAAACCTGAAGCATAGCTAACTTTATGTTTGGATTATGGTTTTTTGTTTTTTTTTGTGCTTGTTTTAGCCTTAAATTTGAAATTAATTTTGAATTCACTTTAGTGAATAAATCTGTTGGTCAAATTACTTTTATTTTATTACATGTAGAAACATGGCTGTGGCTGACCCCAAATTTGTGAATGCATTATACAAACAATGCATTTCAAATGTATAAAAACATATACTCAGAAATAGGCAGCAGTTTCATTCAAAAAGCAAAATAGTGATTTCATGAAGGGAGCTGCAGACGGCATCCATGGCATCGTCAAATTAATAGAAAATGTGAATGTGCAAATATGAGAGGTGAAGACTTGCACAATTTTTGCCTACCCAGCATGGAAACACCGTACAAGTACTTGTACAGCTAAAATGAATCATAACTGTTGACTTCCATCTTCAGGCCCTATTGCTGTACACCATCTGGGTATGCAGCTAGCCAACATCCAGCTAACCATGATAGAAATGATAGAAATGGTTGTACAGAGCAGCTGGAGAGTGTAATGAAGCTTATCCCTGTCTCAATGTTATCTAAAAAAACCAACAACCTGCAAAAGCAGTGGAAAAGCTTGGATTGCGTTGGCTTACATGTCAACACATTTATTATGGGATTGGCTGGGAGCTCGGTTTATGATTACATGAATTACATGTGAAAAAGGAATTAGCCCTGTTGAATGCGGAGCAAAGTCCAGCCATAAATGGAAGCTGACATACTTATTCATTCCGGGATCCTCTTCTAAGCAGTACACAGGTAGGCTTTAAAGATCCCCTTTTTATTTTTAACACCCACTCTATATTTTGGAATTAATCTGTGGGAAAGATTAAAGGTTTTAGATAAAGTTGTGGCTGTGACTATCACCGTCACAATTATCTAAGATAAAATATTCAATAAAAATGAAATAGACAAAATTATCAGTTATTCATACAGCTTGTTTTTGGTTGGTTTTTTGGCCTAACAAAAATGTAATTCATTTGGCAATTCTCCGCAATTCCTGGTTAACAAAAACAAAAATCCAGCAAGGCTATTTGCTAAATTGTGACTTGTTGCCATTTAACCCTTTAAGGACCAAACTTCTGGAACTTCTAAAAGGGAATTATGACATGTCACTCATGTCATGTGTCCTTAAGGGGTTAAAAGAGATTTTAAAATTTTACGTCAAAGTAGCCAAACTGAAAACACAACTGCCAAAAAAATTAAAATAAAAACACATGCAAAGCACATTGTGCTAAACTCAACAGGTAGAAATAAAACGCGTAAGATGGAAATACCCTGAATAAAACATATATTTTTTTGCAGTAAACATACAAATAAAGATCTGACATTAAACTTTGTTGTAAGATTCACTAAAGTGAGAATTGTCAAAAATGTAACATAAATTTAAAAAGTCAGTTCTGTTTTGAGTTCGGCTGTTTTGTCCTTAAATTTGAAATTCACTTTGAATTCACTTTGAATTCCGGGTAATTCTCAGTTTTGTAAATAACCCTGAAGGTACGAGTTTTGTGTTATTATACAGCTTTATTCACTAAATGCAAATTTAATAAAAATGACAAAACTGAGGTATAAATAGACAAGTTTTGACATTTACTGAGTGGGAGAATTTTTGCCTCGGTTTTTTTAAAATATAATTTGTGAAAATTCTGAGTTGAATTACTCTGATAGGTAATAGCCAAGCAAATGTGAATTTCCTTTTGATTGAGATTTTTCAATGTGGAAAATGACTTTTTGTTTATAAAGAAATGCTAAACTATCTTGCAGCTAGGGGAGGATGGAAGCGTCTGTTTTCTCCTTGTGTGAATTTTCGTTTTTGTTTTTTTACCATTTATGGTTTTATTTTTGCACAAAACTATTACGTGAGTAAATTTTCACAAATCGTCAATGGCTTTTCACTTGTGAGGACACTTGCATTAGGTCACACATACGACACATGTTAAAACATAAAGTGTTTTTTTGTTGTTTTTGTATAGCAACTGCTAGAAAAAATGAAAAGTGCCAGTTTTCTTTTGTCTTTTCTTTTATGCAGAACTAGATCCCTATGTGCCACATGTATCACTGGGACTCGGGAAATAGAAAGCAGTTAGTTAATTTTTTTTATAAATATAGTGCTTGATTGGATAACCGGCTTGGTTGACAAACTTCGGCAATGATACAGTAAATTCAATGTCAGTTTTGAATTTTAGACCTAAGCTGAGTTGGGGAAAAAATCTCAAGTCCTCTATGTTTTCAGTTTGTTTGTTTTTGGTGTAAATTTCTGAAAATAATTTTGAATTCAGTAGCTCACATTTTAGTGAATAATGCAGCTTCTTTCACATTGATAACTTTCCTCCGTAGTATAGACATATTTAAACCCCTAGTTGTTATAAGGAGAATTGTATGAAAGAAACACCCAAAGCACCACAACCACTACAGAATACTGGAGTAGTTATGGTTCCAGGAGTTCCCTGGCAGTCCCCAATGCATGTAGTGAAACTGTTTGACCAATCAGCTTTCGGCCAATGAGTGAGCCCTGCACAGCATGGTTTAGCTCAGGAGAGTTAATAGAAACTACTAGCAGGTCAAACTCAGTTAGAGATCTAATGCTGTTTCTTGAGAAGCATTTAATTGATTTGATCATCAATCTTAATAATCTCAGCCAAGGAGGCAGAACAGCAATCTGGAGAGCAGTGCAGCAAGGCCTGCCACTGAAAAGTAAGCAAATTTTACCTTTTCAAACCCTCACAAGAGGTACGACATCTAGATACGTAGCAGGAAACTATAGCGTTAAGAATATATGTCTGTATATAACACTATATTGTTCCTTTAATGACAGGGCCAGATAGATATTCCAAGGACATGTCCTGAACAGTATATATAAGTAGGTTTAACTATTAGCAAAGGAAATTGCTCTCTAACTCTTCACATATCACAGAAATATGCAAATCATCCTGTTATGCTGTATAAACTGTAAGGATTAAAGATCAATTTGGTTAAAGATAATGGTAACTATACACCTTTAAATTAAAGAGAAGACTACAGGTTTATAGCAAATGGTACAAATATATCTGGAATGCAAATCTGTAGACAATAAAACTCCATCTCTACCCATCACTGGTAAACGTATAGCTTAAATTCAGCCTTTAACATGTATGTCTATTGTGATGGTATCTCTGATGTATATTGGTGTGTGAACAGTTTAGTACAAGTCCAGCATTCTTAAAACTCAACTGATTCATATTTAGCGCCCTACTACACACTAAGCACTATGGGGTTGAATAATCTGATTATTAAGTTTATCCTGTGAATCTTGGTGTACATTTAATTGCTTTTTCAGGGAAATAAGCATTTTGGAATGACAGGTACATTTTAATTGTTCATATTTAAAAGCACAGGATTAAACAGGCCACATTTTGAGCTGTAATCATTGTAGTACATAAATTGGATTTAAAAAAAAAAAAGTGACTTCTACTTAGTGGCTTATCGGAAGTTGTTAACAGGCGATGTCCTATTTATTCTCCAGCTTTTTGATCATTTGTCCAGCCTATTAGAAATAAATACAATATAAAATATTGTACCAGAGATAAGAATGACATCACAAACTGCTTTGTTAACTTCCTTCCTCTAGGCCATTGGACCATCGCAACACCCAGATAAGAGATGGTTATTCTTCGACAGGTAGGTCCGGAACTCTGTAACAGTGAAACATTGTCACTTCATTTGTTTATTTGAATATAGTGCAACTGTCATTTGTGAATGAAGCACTAAATGTTAGAAAATGTGTCACTATACAACTATGTGGGGTTTACTCAATAAATACTGAATTGTGGCAAATTAAACCGAATTGCACAATTTAGGCAAAAGTCCCATTTTGTACAAATTCTCAGACACCACTAAAATTACTTATTGGTTATTTTTGCATTTTGCAATACAGTTGCGGATTTCAGTTCACAGCAGATTTGTTTAGTGAATATATCTCTATATATAATACATGACAGGGACGTAAATGTAAATCTTTATATGTTACACATGATTTAAAACCTAATGCTAAGGAGGTGCTATCAGGGACATAGCAAATATTGCAGTAGCAAATGTTGGTGAGGGACCTCACCACACTAATCATGATAATAAAGCTCCCTCTTGTTTCCTGGTGTGGATGGGAACACATTCTTGGTGATATTTTGGTAAGGAAGCAGGACTCATTTGTGTAAGCAGTAAAGATGGAAAGTATTTTAGTACTGCATGTAGACTCAAATTGTGTGTAGAGTAGACTTCATGGTGCCCAGGGCGATATCTTCTGGGCTTTCCTCTGAGTTTTCCAACATCAAAAAAGACCATGTTTTATTTATATTCCAGACTG